CTGCTGCTGCTGCTGCTGCTGCTGCTGCTGCTGCTGCGGACCTGCTGCCTGAACTTGGTTCTGTGTTCTTCTCTCTGTCTGGCGACGAGTTGCCAAAAAGCTTTAGTTCCCTTTTTATCGGAAGGCAGCGGAAAGTCGATTTCCCTGAGAAGGGCCAAAACGGCCTTTTGGACTTTGTGGGGCGCAGCAGCAGCAGCAGCAGCAGCAGCAGCAGCAGCAGCAGCAGCAGCAGCGGCCCACTGCCGCAGGAACTGCGGCGTCTGCGCGAACGCATGCAGCGTCTGCTGCAGCTGCGGGTCCCGGAAAGAAGCAAATAAATATAATCCAGAAGCATCCAAGTTGAAGCTGCTGCCGTAGGCCCCCCCCTGCTCCCGCACAACTCCCCACAAGTGCTGGGAGGAGACGATCCCAGACCCCACAAACGCGGGGCCCCACACCTCCCGCCCCACACCCCACACGCGGCCCCCCGCGGCCACGTAGTTCACCTGCATGCGCATGCAGTTTCGACTAATTAATTAATTCACCAATTAACTAATTAATTAATTAATTGATTGGTTTATTTACTTGTCTGTTTAGTTAGTTTGGTTTGTTGGTTCGTTGGTTGGTTGGTTGGCTGGTTGTTTTGGTTGTTTGTTTATTTATTTGTTTGTTTGTTTATTTATTTGTTTATTTGTTTAGTTATTTGTTATTTGGTTTTTTGGCTTATTTGTTTGTTTGTTTGCTTTTGGTTATTTGTTTTGGTTGTTTTGGTGTTTGCTTTGGTTTGGATTGGTTGTTTTGATTTCGGGATAAATTTCGTTTCTTTTATTTGTTTATTTGATGTGTATTATTTGTTTGATTTGTTTTATTTGTTTTATTTGTTTTATTTGTTTTATTACTTCATTTGTTTTTAAGATAGATGTCTGTTTGTTTGGAGAGTTTATTTTGTTTTACTTTTGGATTGATACGAAAATGTACTTATTTAAATTATTAATTTGTTTTATTTTATTTAAAAGGGCTTCTGAACTGGAAATTGGAAATTAGAAAAGATAAAAATGGAATTATGAAAAGATGAAGAAATCAAAATGAGATTAACCGGAGATTAAAAAGCACAGCAGCAGCAGCACAGCAGCAGCAGCAGCAGCAGCAGCAGGCTACCTTTGTGGGGACCAGAAGTGCTTCTCTGACGGGTTTGTTGAGCAGCTGCTGCTGCTCAATTTGGGAAACCCAAAGAGGTTTTCTGTCGAAGCCCCTTTGTCCAAAAGGAGTGGAAAGCAAGGTTTCAGTGTTTGCTGCTGCTGCTGCTGCTGCTGCTGCAGCAGCAGGAGACCCCACAGGCAGCGCCCCCAGCAAACCCCGCAGCGCCTCCAAACCCTCTCCTGCTGCTGCAGCAGCTAAGCTGCTGCTGTCTCCAGTTAAGTTCACTAAAGTGTTTTCCCGCTGCAGCAGTTTGCTGCGCAAACTCTCCAACTCTGCTGCCAAAGACGGCCAGTCCGTCTCCGCCTGCAGCAGCAGC